TTGGGAGAAGGTGGGGGGGGGAAGACGGGCTCGGGCGGGTAATTGTGATAAGCTGTCGGACACGGGCCGGGCTAGGGCCTAAATTTGAGGCCAGTGCAGGGCTCTACAGCACTATACAAATTACACGTTTTTCATTAGAGATGGTTGAGGCCATTGTGGAAGTTCTGTTGCCAGATCTGTAGACAAAAAGACCAGACAGCTCTTTACACTCATGTAACACTATTTAGTGATGCATATGCCGAGTGTTTATTTATTCTTTACTTATTGTCCATTATATAGTTTACTTATTTTTATTATATATTACTTGTGTTTTTTGTATTTTTCCAGTTCTTCTGGAGCGTGGCAGCAAACTGAGAAATGCCATGGTGGTTTCAGCCTTAAAATCTGATGTGGAGCCAGATGTTCCTCTGAAGGACATTCCCCTGCCTCTCTCCAAAGACAACACTGATGTCTTGTATGAACTCTACTTATTCTTACACATACCTATGAGGGGTCAAAATAGACAGATAAAATGGCAGAATGTTGATGATTATAAATAGTGTTAAACATCATCTTCCTCCTAAAGGCCAGCCAGGCCCTCGTCAGGACAGTTTCTGGAGAACATCCTTCAAGCAGAACACCAACATCCTGTTCACTACCTTGAAGAGCCAAGTCAGAATAGAGTCAACCCAGAGGACATGGCTGTGGATTTGCTGCTGGGAAGGTAGTCAAGGCTACTGATTAAGTGACGAAAATGGAACTTTGCTCATAAATACTTGATGGAAATGTGTGAAACTTTTAGAGTGAGAAGAATTATTTTGTCTGTGTTTGCAAACTATATGCTTTAATGTTTGTAATGGCTCTGTTCCTCAGTGTTAATGGATCTGTGCTGCAGTTCTGGGATGGAGAGGGTTCTTTCCCAGATTCTCTTTCTGATCATAGTAGTGTGCTCATGGACAGTGAGCTCAACGACCCTCAATATGATCAGAGTCTTCTGGAGAACCTCTTCTACAAAGCTCCTGTAAGTCATACAGTGTAACACAGCAAGCTGTTATATGTAGTTTAGTTTCCTTAAACATATAACTTTGTAAATAATTTTTTCCCTTTTTTTTTTTAGATATCAGATGAATGTTTGGAAGAGGAGCATCAAAAGAAAGATCCAGCAGAGAAGCCAGTACATACAAGACCAACTAAAAATGCCCAGTCAGTTACACTAATGCAAGAAGAAATGCTCAAACTCATTCACTTAAGATAAATACATAAAAAATGTATTAATAAATAAATAAACATTATATGTAAATGTTTTCACATATGTGTAAAGGTACAGAGAATTAAAAATAGTTTTATTTTGAAACACATTTTTTCATATCTGCTGTTGTGTAAACTGCCTTTTTTGTTTTTCTTTTTTTTTTTGAAGACTTGATTCTGAAGATGTGCAGCATTCAGAAGCAGGAGATGATTTCTCTGGACTTGGCATGGATATAATAGCTTTACTTGGAGATATTCATTTTGCCAGGGTCACCATCAGTGAGTTAAAAGTTTCCACTGAGAGTATTTCAAGAAGTCTCTCTAAAAAAGGAAGACCACCTCGCCCCCTCACCACAAAGAAATGGTACCACATTTATGATATTTCACATCAGATAATATTCATAGATGATGGTGGCTAGAAGATATTGTCCATTTTTAAAAACTAACCTGATGTAAATATTTTGTTTATCTAGCTTTTATATCGTAGAGTACCTCTTTCCACTGGTCTCTGCTGGGTTTGAGGATGTTCAACGTGTACCTTCAGAGATTACAAAAGTTGTCTCTAGTAAAGTAACAGAGGGCGGTGAGTACATTCGTTTTAGAGAACTACGAGAAACCAGAAGTAGTGTAATAATCTGGTGATTCATTTTTGTTTCAGTTGTGATGTTTCAGCACCAAAGTTTGTTTCCAGTGAGGTTCAGTAGGTCATCTATTAAACAATGGTGGGAGATGAACGTCACATTCAAGATCTACTCCAGAAATAACCTTCAAAAGACAGTAAGTGCAGTGTGTTCCAATGACAAAATCAAACAAACCTCAGAAATCAAGGCTCTTTTGGTTTTATCTGTTAGAGGCCTGATCTTCTCATTTGTTGTTTAGCCCATTCTCATTGGATCAGCAATGTTTCCACTGAACTCCCTGATGCAGAGTGAATCGCTGAGCATTTCTGCTGCCCTTCCTGTTCAAAGACCGGATGGAAACATTGATAAACAAGCAGTTGGTCCTCTGAAGGTAAAGAATCGATCATAAGAACCAAATTTGGGAGATTTTATTGATCTAAGTGATTCATTCTTTGTCCCTTATGTTTTTTTTAAGGTTTCATTTGAATTAGCAGCAGACAAAAATTATTTCTCCACCAAAAAGAGACCTGCAAAACGAATGCTGAGTCCAGCAAGACCTCCTCCTTCCCATTTGACTGAAGAGCATGATGGGCCAAAGGGTTTATGTGTGACTGACCACAGGAGAGACCCGTCTCCTAGTGCAAGTGTTCATCAAGTCCAGAGTATCCTGATACCTCCAACCAGATCACGATCCACATCACCACACGTCAGATACCAGAGCTCTCTTCATGAGCCTCTGCAGCAGGAAGTGGAGGAGACTGAGATTTTGCTTCATATGTTGCTCATGGTGCCTGATGGGAAAGATTTTAACTGTGCACCCATGCAGCCCAACATCTACTTGAACTGTAAGCTCCTCGGATCCGATGAAACCGCTCGGTCGACAGTGAGCTGGGGTCAAAAACATCCATCGTTCAGCTTTATTCAGGTTGGTGCTAAATATAGAATTCGAGGAAAGTTCACAGGCTTTACCCATATTACTCTGTGGTGGAAATCGTCAGGGTTCCCACAATACAGTTAGTTTATTATTTGTTTTTAATCTAATTTCTAATATGATACAGGTGGCTCCAGTCACACTGACCAGCAAACTTTTGGAGAGAATGAAGAACAACATGATGGTCATTGAAGTTTGGTTGAGGGCCAGTAGTTCAAACCATGATAAACTTCTTGGTTTGGTAAAACTACCTCTTCACCAGTTCTACATGTCCTTCAGGTAGATCTATCTATCTATCTATCTATCTATCTATCTATCTGTCTGTCTGTCTGTCTGTCTGTCAACGTAATGAATGTATACAGTATGTTATAGCATGAATATAACATTAGTAACTCTATGTGCAGTATATTAATTTTGTGGTATTTTTGTAGTTGCAGTATAATATTTTATTTATTATTATGCATTTCCAATTAAAATAAATATGTGAAATATGCATAGAATTAAATATGTATTGTTATAAATAAAATATTATTTCTTATATTATATAATGATAATAATGAATAGAATAATAGCAACAATATATATTAATATTAACATTATATTATATTATATTAGTACTGTATATTAATATTAGTATAAACTTTATATTAATAGTAACTTTATAATGAATTATTTTATATTAAATATATCAGTGTAGTTATCATTTAATGAATGTAAAACTGTTAAAAAGTGCTTTTATTAATTGAAATCTAAAATAATATCAAATTTAAATATTATATCCATCCATTTTCCAAAATATTAGATGACATTTACATTTAGTCATTTAGCACATGCTTTCATCCAAAGCAACTTACAAATGAGGACAATGGAAGCAATCAAAATCAACAAAAGAGCAATATGCAAGTCTCAGTTAGCTTAACGCAGTACACGTAGCAAGGTTTTTTTAAATAAAAAGAAAACCGATAGAATAGAAAAAGAATAAAGCAAGCTAGTGTTAGAGGCTTTTTTTGCTTTTATTAATTGTATAATAAATAAAAAGAAAAGAAATAGATAGAATAAAAAATTATAGAGAAGCTAGTGTTAGTTTTTTTTTTTTTTTTTGGGATGAAAAACTGAAACAGAAAATTTAAATGAAATGTATAATATATAAATATATTTTATTAAAAAAAAAGACAAAAATGTATAAAAAATGACTGAAAATTAAACTAAAATTAATAAATTAAAAAATAACATTTTAAAAATAAAACTCAAATAAAAATAAAAGTAATGAAAAACTTTGATAAGTACTCTAATAGTAAATAAAAGAATAGTAAAATAACACTGGAACATTTTTTCTTCTTTTTACTTTGTCTCCAGAGACCCCAAGATCACAGATCTGCTCTTGCAGTCTCAGTATCCAGTGGTTGGAGTGGATAGTTTTATGCCTGTGGTTGATGTGTTCAGCGGCAGCACTCGTGGACACCTCAGGGTGTGTCTAGCAATGGGTCTAGCACAGCAGATCACGGCACTGCAGCGAATGAGGGATGATGAGCTGACCCACGTATCACCGCTGCCTCGACCAGCGCACATGTTAGACCACCGGCCACATGTAGAAACCAAGGCTAGTTCACTTTAAAACTCCCAAAAGCAGCACTGATGCTCAAAGAATGAAGCTTAATTTGTTTTTAAATTGATAATTTTGCAGGCCAGTACCACTCTGGATGTTCTGCGTGAGCATGTCTTCATGGTCCGAGTAGAGCGAGTAAAGGGTCTGACGCCTCTGCAGTCCACAGTGTGGGGAGAAGCTGACTGTTACATCCAGTACTCCTTCCCTGCACAAAATGAGTCGAGAGAGGACACGGACCCACATGTCGTTGAGAGCAGTAAGCTGTTTTCTTGCTGACTGTATTAAAAGTCTTTTTTTTCTGTTCAGCTCAACCAACGCTCTGTTCCACAGATGTGGAGCTCAAGGCCTACCGCACTGAGACCACTCTCTGTGTGCCTGACCCCGTGTTTGGACATAATGAGACTCATGTCCTGCTGGCTCCTCCTGACGTCCCAGTGCAAAGAATACTGCTGAGCTCACTGGCCAGTCAAGGGCTGAGGAACGGAGGAGGGGTGCACTTTGAGGTTTGGTGCAGGTACAGTAAATGCAGAAATTGTAGTTTAGTCCTGAATTTTATTTATTACATTTTAGCATTTAAAATGTATTTCTTTTATGTGGCAATAATTACATTTTTTCAAATTTATTTATATATATATAATTGTTTTTTTAAATTATATTTTAGTGCTTAGAAATGTTACCAAGTAAAATAAATTTTTCTTTTCATTATTTAGTTAGTTGCTTTTTACATTGGGAGCAATATTTACATTTTTTTTAATTAATTTTTTACAATTTAGCATGTAAAAAGCATGTGTTTTTTGGCAATATTTTATTTATTTACATTTTAGCATTTAAAATGTGTCTTTTTTGTTTGGCAGTGTTTGTTTGTTTTTACATTATAGAATTAAAAAGATAATGCATCATTTTTATTATTTATTTTTTACATTTTAGCATGTAAAAACATGTTTTGGCAATATTTTATTTATTTACATTTTAGCATTTAAAATGTTCCTTTTTTTGTTTGGCAATGTTTGTTTGTTTGTTTGTTTATTTATTTAATTTTACATTGTAGCATTAACACTAGAACCGCCAGAGGTCACCGTATACCTAAAAGCATAAATTTTACCCACACACATGACAGCTGTATTTATATGGCTAAAGAACATATTATTTCACTGTATTATGCCACTGTCTTCACAGAGAAGTGTCTAGAGTCATGCAATAATTATGTCTAGTCATCAACTATATTTTTATCCTGTTGTTATATGTTCAAGACTTTTTAATGCAGTCTACACTAATCCATAATGGTCAGTAACCTAAGCTAAAAAAAAAAAAAAGAAAAGCCTGCACTGACAACGGAAATTAGAAGGTAGTAGCCTAAATATTTGGGTGATGTTTTATTTATTTGCTGTTTACGTTTTAGCATTTAAAAATGTGGGGTTTTTTTTGCAATATTTTTATTATTTATTTTAATTTATTTTGTTTACATTTTAGCATTTAAAAGCTTGTTCTTTGACAATTTTTTATTTATATACTTATTTGTCTCTTTTATTTTAAAATATTTTTATTTATTTATTTGTTTGCTTTTTATGTTTAAACGTCAAGTCAAGTCAAGTCACCTTTATTTATATAGCGCTTTTAACAATACAGATTGTGTCAAAGCAACTGAACAGCCATGAATGCATGAACTAGCTTTTCTGCATCAGAAACAGGTATCATGTTTCGTAACTTGGCAATGTTTCTAAGATGGAAGAATGCTGTTTTTGTAACATGGGAAATATGATTTTCAAAAGACAAGTTGCTATTTAATATAACACCCAGATTTTTGACTGTAGAGGAAGTAACCGTACATCCGTCTAGTTGCAAACTGTAATCCACAAGATTCGGTGTACTGTAAACGTTTAAAGCATTATTTTATTTTAGCAATATTTTATTTGCCAATATTATTATTATTTCATTTTATTCATTTGTTTATTTTTTACATTTATTTATTTCAGCATTCAAAAATATATTGCTTTTATTTGGTAATATTTTTATTATTTAATTCTATTCATGTATTTTTTTTTTACATATGTATAATTTAAAAACATGTCACATATTTAGTAATATTTTTATTTATTTTTATTTATTTTTTTAAATATGACTTATTTATAAGCCTATTGAAACATTTGCAGGTATTATTATCCAAATGTTAGAGATCAGCTAGTAGCCAGAGGACTGCTGCCCATGTCCAAACTGTGTGCCATGGTAACCATGCAGAAACAGGGTCAAACCGATGCACAACTTTTCTCCCTTCCTCTGGTACCAAGAACCGACCGACCTGTCGACACACAGCCTCAGCCCCCTGGTAGTTGCATATCTTATTATCTTAAAACTGCAGATAACATATATAGTGTTATATGGATTTTAAACCAATGTAATAAAGTAAAACCTGTTTTCATCTGTGCTTACCTGTAGGGCTGCTTGAAGTGAGTGTTCAGTACAAGTCTCGACCAATGAAGAGTGTGGGAGTGAAGAGTGGGGTTGTGCCGTCCCGCAGAGTGATGCTGGTTGTGCAGGTGCACAGAGCAGCCGGTCTACAAGCTGCAGCCAAGTGAGTCAGTCTGCCTCAAATCTGCCTTTAGCTTTTAACCAATTACCCCAACAGCAGTCTAGCTTGATTAAATTGATTTAACATTACATGGAGTATAATTTTGGCATCTAAATTGTATTTTTATTTGCCATCTTTTTGTTTCTCAGAGCTCTTGCAGATGCAGACAGCTCACTGCTGTATTACTCTGAAGTGGGGCTCAACTCCTTCATCACCGTGCAGTTGTCCTTCCTGCCGGACAGTGAGGTTCGAAGTACACGTGTGGCGGCCCGAAGTTTCTGCCCAGAGTTTGAACATCACGCCGAGTTCTGCTGTAACCTGCTGGTGCAGAGAGACAGCAGGGAGAGTGTCAGTCTGGCTGAACTCCTGCAGGAGGCAGTGGCCGTCTTCACCATTTACAACAGAGACACACGCAAAAGTGAGTTACCCGACTTGGAAAGGTAGACAGACATGTGGTGATTTA